GCCTCAGTTCGCGTTCCCTCTGTGTTGCACTCCGAGCCGCTTCCGTAGCCCGCAGTCCCCAAGTTTTTCGGGGCGAGAGCTGCCGCCTCTTCCCTGCCGGGTCCCTGCTCCGCTGTGCTCCTCCCCGGCGCTGTGCTGCGCGGCTCTTGCTCCGCACGTATTGTTTGGCTGGGTCTCTAATGGCGGACGGGGAGGCAGCGCTGCCGGTCGCCGACTGCAGGGGGGGCCAGGCTCAGGCCCAGGGCAAGTGCTTGGGGCAGATATCGGGAATATTGGTCCCGTGGAAACCCGAACCTCCCCTCACCTCCGAATTGGTGCCTGGAGTGACAGGGAGGGAGCACGCTGGGTGGGCATATTTAGGAGGGCCTCGGATACCTTGTTGGCGTCGAGGCTATGCTTTGCCCTTCCCCCCTTTCTCATCCTGGGGCAAGCTTGGTGCCTTCCAGCAGCCCCTTAGAGATTTTGCTTTTCACGTGGTTTTTGACCCGAAATATGCAATTTACGTCGCACTTTACGTAGGAGGGTGTTGTGGGGTGTGAGTAGGGGGTAATAATAAAAGGACCGAACCTCCTTGACCTCCCCTTGTCTGCCTCCTTCTGGTGGAAAGGGCTTGGTGCGCCCACCTGGTTGGCTCTTGTATCATTTTTCATCTTGTTTTTTTTTCTTATCCAGGACCAAGAGTCGCGCTCAACTCTCGTTGGTGCATCTTTGGCAGAAAGTGAAGAGCAAAACATCTCCATTGTGAGTCCTTGGCCCATAATATGTTCCTCTTTGGTGGACATCGCCACATTTTAGGGGTTCAGGAGTAGGCTTTGCCCCTCCCCGTTGCTTTGAGGAGGAGGAGCTTTTCCTTGGGTGGCAGCTGCCCCTGGGGCGAAGCCTGGGTAATATTGGTGAGGCAGCTGGGAGTGGGCGCCGCTGTTTCCACCGCTGCAGACATCAGTCCTGCTGCTGCTGCTGCAATACCAACCTCAGCAACCAGACTTAGGGCTCCTGCAGCTGCTCACGTTACCGGGGAGGAGGGGTGGTGGGAAGGAGGGCATATTTCTGGTGCCCTCTAGAGTTCCAATGTGGGAATTGACGTTGCTGCTTTTTTAAAATGCTGTTCTTTTTTTCTCTTCCGTTACAAGGGATAATGGATTTAAGGGACTATAAAAATAGGACCACTTAATTTTTTTGTTTGTGTCTGAATCTTTTACGATTGTTTGGTTGAAGTGGAAACATTTGATTTTTTAAAATTTTGTTAATTTTAATGAACGTTTACAGAGACTTTGGATTTCCATTCATTCATTGTTGCATTTTTCTCCATGCCCACCCCTTCCCCCCAATTCGCTCTTCTCTTTGTCATTGTTAT